GATGGGAGCGAGAGACGAATTGAAGACTGAAGAGGGAGAAGAAGGAGCGAAAGAAGGCGTATGGTAATATACATTTAAATGTGTAATTAGTTAAATTATTATTATTTTTTTTTGAAAATGGTAATAATATACTAGTATTATTTTTAAAATAAGTCTGGAAGTTAATTATAATAGTCCAAAAACTAATTTTGAAAATTATAATGTTAAAAAATTCCCTAGAAAGCGTAGCCAGTAGCCTTAGTGGCTTTTTTTTCTTTTTTTTTTCTTCACAATTTCTAATTAGAAAAAAATACTACCACTAAATAAGACCATTATTATCCTAAAAAAAGAACTCAGGTTTAAATTCCCATCCATCTTTTATGAACTAATTTAAAAAAAATATATTTATGAACGACTAAAAAGAAAAAAAACATAATATAAACCAATTATTTTACCCTAAGCTAGAAATAACAAGATAAAAGTTTCGAGGAGTCGAAAGATCAATTATGATCCCTACATTTGTTTTTGTGGTACTAAAAAAAAAAAATATTTATTAAGTGTAAACTGTAAAGTTGTTAAAAATGAATTCTCACTAAGACTAAATCTGAATTTTTAAGTTAAAAAATGAAGAGAGAAATGGTTATTAAACTAACAAGATGATCGTAATGATGAACGATATGAGTTCAGTTAACGTGGATAAGTTGATCAGTTGGAGCGGCCACTAATCCGTTGCGCGCAGAGGTTATAGCTCTTGAACCGGGCAAAACCCTATATATAGTCAAGAACAAGATCCGCGAGAAAACAGATTGCTTACACAAACACATTTGGATTATTCACAACAGAAAATCAAAATCCAAAGCAAATCAAATCAAAGGTACTGGAGAGATCGATTGGACGAAACTGTGTACAAGAAGTGCTGAAGAAATTGCAAAATCAAGAAGCGGTTTAGGAAATAGATAGATGAGGCCTGATAAAGCTGCCGCTGCATTGTCTTCGGCGTCGTCGTCTTCTTCTCCGGCGAGTTCTTCCTCTAAAGCCGCTGGCGCTGCGGCGCCGGTTGTTGCAGCAGCGTCTCCTATAGGCAGCGTCGAATATACGACGGGCAATAATGGCCTCGAGAAGGTGGTTCTCCGCGGCCCCCGTCGCAGTTCCGCTGAGGTACCGTCTCCCACAAGAAACCGAACTAAAATATAATTGATTGAATTTTACGCATCTTCATTTCTCATGCTGCTATCGCCTTGAAGAATATTGAATAGGATCACTCGACTTGACTGTAAACTCCAAATCTTGAATTTCGACCAATAAATATAAAAACGTAGTACGTATATTTGTTTTTCCTTTTTGCATTTCTTGAGTGAAAAGAATATTCTAGGCCATTAATTAATTATGTATGATCATATTATCAATTAGTTTGCAATCCAAATAGCATATTCTTGATATAATAACATATATACAGAATTTTTTTAGTTCGTAATTAATTAAGAACAAGTTTAAAAGAAATAGTATTAGTACATGTGTGTATTTGAGTAAATTTTGATTACCGTTTTGGCTAGGTGTATTTGTACGGAGCTCAGGTGATGTCGTGGAAGAACAAATTGGGAGAGGAGTTGCTTTTTGTGAGCACAAAGGTGATTAATTATTCCCGCAATTAATTTTAAATTATTTATTTATTTTGAAATTGAGAGTTCTTCGCGGTTGGATTTGAAATTATAATTTCGGAACAATAATGCAATTGCAGGCTGTGTTCGCGCCTCCGAAGCCAATGCGCGGGGGAATTCCGATTTGCTTTCCTCAAGTAGGTGTAATTTCCCATTGTTCGTCAAAATGAATCAAAATTGTGTGGTTTAGGGTTTTGGCCGGTGAAGGAGAAAACTCACATCGCTTCAGTTTCTCAACAATGGTATGATCGAGCGGCATGGATTTGTGAGGACCAGATTCTGGAGGATCGATACGGATCCACCTCCGCTCCCCACCGCCGCCCCCTGCAGCTCTTTCATCGACTTGATTACCGACGAACAAGATCGCTGGACTTGGCCTCACAAGTAAGCAGTTACATAAATAAATAAATAAATAAATTAATTCATCGATCTTAATTATTCTTTGTTTTGCGTATCATCAGATATGAATTTCGGCATAGGGTTGCTCTGGGGTACGAAGGGGAACTGCGATTGACGTCGAGAATCAGAAACATAAGACCAGATGGGAAATCGTTTTCGTTTACATTTGCTTATCATCCCTACTTGTTTGTTTCGGACATAAGGTTAATTAGGGTTTGGGGTTTGTTAAAATGCCTTTTGGTTTTATTGCGCTCTCTAGCTAATTTGTTGTGGGCATGCAGTGAAGTGCGCGTGGAAGGAGTGGAGACGCTCAACTATCTTGACCACTTGCGGGACAAAGAGCGTATTACTGAACAAGCCGATGCCATAACTTTTGAATCCGAGGTCACCCAAAAACTTCCATACCATTATTACTTTAATTAATTAAGTTTAGATCTATTTTGTTTTCAAACTCCCTTTTAATTAGGTGGACAAGGTGTATATACTGACCCCGACAAAGATAGCAATTTTGGATCACGAGAGAAAGAAAACCATTGAACTGCGGAAAGATGGGCTTTTGGATGCGAGTAAGCAAGCGCGCACACACTTGAAAGATTTATTTATTTATTTAATGTGTTACGCAGTAGAAACTATATAATATAATAATAAATAATGTCGTATACGTATATAATAGTTGTGTGGAATCCGTGGGACAAAAAGGCAAAGGCTATAGAAGACCTTGGGAACCAAGATTACAAGAGAATGGTGTGTGTGGGAGCCGCTGCCATTGAGAATTTCATCACACTGAAACCTGGAGAAGAGTGGAAAGGAAGAATGGAGCTTAACTTCGTTCCTTCTAGCTACTGTAGCGGCCAACTCGACCCTCAGATAGCTCTCCTTGGCGGCTGACCATTATTAACCCAAAACTAAAACCTTCTTTCCTTTAAATGTTCAATCTAGTGAGTAGGGAATCTGTATTCCATACTTTGTTTTTAGTTTGTCAATAAATGAATTCTCAATATAATTTTGTGTCCTACTCCTTAATTATTTATTGCATGCAATTAAATGATTTTGAAATCATTTCTTTTTTCTTATAATGTTAATTTTACTCGAAACAATATCAAATTAAAATCAAGTTTTTTAGTCCAAAAATTTTCAATTATTATAACCCCATAACAGTAAAATGTTATATATATATATATTTTTTTTTTCATTTATCATAATTAACATCCAAACAAGAAAATTTAATTTTTAATGTCTTTTAAATTCTATAATTAAAGTTGGTTAACTTCTCTCTCATCCACCGACCAACCTCTAACTTATTATTAATTTTAAAACCATTTATTTTACTCATCATAATAGTTGTATTAATTTATTTTAATTTTATTTCTTTGAATCATTTTTTATGGAGTGAAATTCGTAAAATTACTCATTTCAGTTTATAAAACGATATTCGAAAAAAAAGGTTTCAAATAAAAATATAAACTTAAATGAGTAATTTTACTAATGTCAACTCTTGATTTTGAAATAATATAATTGTACAAATGATAAAATAATTCATTCCTCCAATATGAAATCGCTCCAATTTTTTATAAATAAACGACTCGTTCGGAGATTTATTCACCTTTCGAGAGAAAGGTACCATGAACAATCGAGGTTTAGGATTTTCTAGATTTTTACTCTTTTGCAGTAGTTTTAGCCTTTAGGAAAGCACATAAAGACAGAATATATAATTGAATGACAAGTTAGTTTTTTAGATTTTGCAAAACACTTCTTTTTCTCCAAACAGAGATAGAAGTTAGCTTTAGGATTTATTTACGTTCTAAAAAAAAGATTCTTTTTTTTTGTTGCCATGTCAGCCAAGTAAAAAGTATTAAATTAAAACTTTTTTTTCTTTTTCGAACTTAGAAATTTGGAAAGGTAAAAAACTAAGCAAAGAAAGTATTATAAGTGGCTAGCTCAATTGGTTAAGTAATTAATAATTCTTAAAGTTAAAAAAAGATTTGAATCTCCATCTTCCACCCCATATTTTGTTTGAACTAAAAATATATATCAACCATTATCAGGTATGAATAATTTTCATAAGCTTAAAATTTAAAAATAGGAAAAATAAAGAAAAAATAAAAAGATTATGGAGTTAATTAATAAAGTGGTTAGAGTTGAAAATTGAAGGCAATAGGGTGGGAAAGGACAATGACATCCCACAAGACAAAATGGGTTGCGTACGGAGGAGCACGCACGTTTAGTAGTGATCACATTAACTTTAACCACTTTTTTCTTCAGCTGCTTTTGTTTGGTTCGGGATCGAAAAATACTTAAATCATGACGGGCGAGGACCTATCTACTTTCACCGTTCTTCTTTGTCTTTTGAGTTTTTTTTGCCAGATCGGTTGGTCAAGACCTTTGGTTTTTACTTGAACATGATGAAGAAAATAGAATCACTTCTTATAGATTGTTTGAGAATGATTATGATCTAGTTCATAGCCTATTCGAGTCTAATAGAATTCAATTCCCGTTCTCAATCCATGACTAATACGGGTTCGAGGTTTTCTTCGTAACTTTCAGAACTTCTTCGCAGTGACTCCGTTCCATACCTCATTTCGTAGAGAATGAGAAATGGTTTGTCTTTTGCTGGCGTTTGCAAAATGATCTCAGCACCGACAAAACTTCAGTAGTCTCATTTCACATTGGGCAGTAAAGCTGATAACACAGATAAAAGGGGTACAGAGTTTGAAAGCAAACAAATAAGATTGTATAAAAGAAGAACTTTGAACAGCATCAACTCCAACGTTGAAACAATTTGTGTTCTGTTTGTCCCACTTGATTAGCATCTGTAGATGCCACTGCCACTGCCACTGTTTGTTGCTTTCATTGCTTCCAATTGGATGCTTCCCTCTGTCCCTTTTTATTCTAAAAACAAACCAGCTGCCTTGCCTTCACTTGTCCTCATCATCACCTTTTTCCTCTATTCTTCTCTGATGTTAGAACACATAATTCACTTGTTTGACTTCATAATCTTATTATTAGCCTTTTTTTTCCAGATGGGTTCTTGTAATTTTGCTCTGTTTTCCTATGCAAACACTACTTGATCAACTTACAAATGTAGATGAATTGGAGTAAAACAGGACAGCCTATTTACAGCAACATATATGCATGCTCTTGGAACTGGGCATCTCAAACATCCCATTTTATTGGAGTGAAGTGCAAACTAATATTAGAAGAAGAATCTCAATTGGTGAAAATGTGTTAATTAATGTGAAGTGAACCTGTGTTCTGTTTTTGGAATAATGGATGCAAAAGGGTTGTGATCTTCTACTTGAGCTTTAGACTTTGGAAAAGCCAATGTGGCCGTTTTGTTTCCTGATCACATGTTGCACTGGAGCTGCTCATGGGTGTGGTTGGGTCACTGCATTCTTCTCCTCTTTCTGATTTGAATGACAAAGATGAATCCATCTCTCCCTCCTTTTGAGTAAGAGGGGAATGAGAGTTTGATCTCTTCTTGCTGACACCACCACCAATGCTTAGTGTTAGCTCAACATCACCGTCTTCTATGCTCATCTTGCTGCTCTTTCCGACGATCGGCGTGCTCGGCCCGGCTTGGTCTTCGTCGACGGTGCTAACTCCGGTCGACATGTCTTGATCCTCTGCTGCAGCAGGCCTTTCAAGATCAAACCCTCTTGACACTCTCATGTTGTCTCCAGAACAGCTTCCACTCCTCTCTCTACTGCTTGGATCATCTCTCAAGCTTTGAAGATTGAAAATCAGCCCCCCTCCAGCGCTCTGTAATGTCGAATTTTCGCGGTTGTTGAACTGCAAATGATTAGTTCCTGAACTTGCCATTGGACCCCATTGTGAGTTTTGCTTGCTCTCTCTCCTCAGCTCTTCCATCAGCATCTTCTGAACACTGTACAGCCGATGGAGTTCCTTCACCTGCAAAACAGCCACTCCTTAAGAATTGGGTTTGCAATCTATTTGAGAAACTCAATTTGAAGGACGTTTGTTTCTCCTGTTACCTGATTCTTGAAGACATCTTCATGGACCTGCATTGTGTTTCTAATGGAGTCCACTTCTCCTTTGTGCAGCATCTTGTTCACTGATTCTTGAAACTTGTCAAGTCCAGCCATGGCGGCAGGTGTGTGGAGCTTGGGGGGAAGCCTTGTTGAGTCCTGGAAATGGTGCCACTCATTCACTCTTTGAACTGTGAATAATGTGTTGCTGCTGTGGGCAGAGGTGGCTAGAGGATTGAAAGTGGGTTCAAGTCTTGTTCCCATGCCTGAAACCAAATGGGTGTCAAAAATGTTAGCCACACTTTTGACAATAACATTCTTGAAACCCACAAAGAAATTTTGGACAAAAAGTCATATTTGACAATTAAGCACAAGTTTTTCCCCCCTCTCTCTCTCTCTCTCTTTCCACAAGTGGGGTGGGTGTGAATTTGTGTACAGCCACTGAGATGTAGAAGGAGACAGAGTCTAGTTGACCAATTTGTAGTGTCTAATGCAAAATTTAGGCATGCATCAAGGAGTCATGAGTTCAATATTCCAATCTTATGCTCCTTTAGATAGCAAAGAGAAGAGAGAGAGAGGAGATCTACTTATAGTGGAGCCAAAAGTCAAATTATAAGCCAATCTAAACAGAAACAAATTCTTTACATCAGAGACTTTGCTTCTTGATAGTATGATCAATTTGGGTGGTCCCAAAAGCTATGTTCATGTATAGCCTAGGCTGGCTAGTGTAGAAGAAAGTAGATATAAATAATTTTCAGGGAAGTTTTGGTTTCTTGATCTGGGAAAAGGCAAAATCAATCAGTTAAGAGACAATGCAGAAGAAAATTGGCATCTGGTGGCACAAAAACCTGTCCACTTCCTCCTGTTTCTTATTAGCCCTTCATATTGTCCTTCCCATGAGATCAAACATTTTATACCCATTTGGTGAATTTCTCAGAAAGGTTAAGAGAAAGAAAACAGAAAACATTCATAGAGAGAGAGAGAGAGAGAGAGAGAGAGAGAGAGAGAGAGAGAGAGAGAGAGAGAGAGAGAGAGAGAGAGAGATTATTCTGTCTTGGAATTGGAGACTCAAGTACAATCCTAAGCACTGCTATTGGGAAATTGCTTTGAGTTCAGAGTTTGTGCATAAAACCACTGATGTGAAGGAGAAGTTTTGGGCAGCATTTGAAAGTCTCTCAAAGCCCAGAAAGAATCAAACAAAACCATCATCAAAAACTCTGCAGCAAAAGTAAAAAACCCAAGAAAAGAGAAGAAAATATGAAGAAATGATGAGAGTTGAAGTGGGCATGACCTGATACAGAAAGAGCCAGGATGTTGAATGTTTGTTACGAGAGTCATTGAACATCTTCAGCCTTCCTCATGCCAAAACTTTGCTGATCAAAAAACCAAATTCAGTGCCCAATTCCCTCGTGAATATGCCTCAATTAATCAAACTCCTCCTTTGTAAGAATAAAACAAAACCCACTCCTTCGTTTGCCTTACTTTGAGGAAGAAACAATAAAGCAAACACCTCTCAGACTACAAAAATCATAAAAATCCTCTGCTGTTAATAATAATTCAGGCTTGACAGGCTGTGAATGAGGGAGGCAATAATAAAGCTGGTTTGGAATGTGTTCTTATTTGTTTCTTTGTTTATTTTAAAGATGGATAGAGAGAGAGAGAGAGAGAGAAAAAAAAAGAGGTATAAATATTGTATTTGCCTATCAGGCTGTACTTGAATTGTATTGTATTGTATAAGAATGGCTCTGCTTCTGCTGTTGAGGAAGATCAAAGAAAAAGAAAGGGCCCCACAAAAGCATATAATGAAAACAAATATTGGCAGTCCTAAACAATAAACATGAGCCAGTAATTTGTATGCATGCCTGTGAACAAGATATTCCAGACAGCTCTTGGAAGCTTTCAAGATTTATATGCATGAATGGTGGAAAAGTTTATGCCTCAAAACACCCTGTTTTCTTCAAACAAATTCTTATTCTTTTTTTTTTTTTTTTGTGGACACTCAAAAATTCCAATGTTTGCTTGCTCTGATCTCATGATTTGGATTGAGTGACTGCAGAAACATCAGCTGTAATTTGTGAGTTCATTGGAGCTGTGAAATCCTAGCTGCCACTTCACTTCTTCTACATTCTTCTGAGGTTATATTATATTATTATAGACTTTAATTTCCCTTTCCTTCCTACAGTGTAGATTGTACTATATGTTTTCTCATTATGAAAAGTATCTAGACAATTTGAGCTGGGGGAATAGAGAGAGAGGAAAAAACTTTTTGAATATTTCTTAGATTTTTTTTAGTACAAGTGAAGATTCGAACTCATGATTTTTTGGTCAAGTATAGATGTTTGAACTAGTTGAGCTATGTTAAGATTGACTTGAGAGGAAAAATTTAAATTGTGGGTTATGATTACACTTTTGAGATGAGAGCGGGTTGAGGATTCGAACTCACTATCTATTGGTCAGATATAGATGTCTAAACAGTTGTACTATGTCAGATTGGCCTAAGAGAGAGAATTTGAATTGTGGTTTATGATTACACTTTTGAGATGAGAGTGGATGTGAAGATTCGAACTCATGACTTTTCGATCAGATGTAAATACCTAAAATAGTTTAATTATGCTCATACTCATTTAACGGAGAAGATTTAAATTGTGTGGGTTATATGATTACGCTTTTGAGATGAGATAAACATAGTGAGGTTATAATTCAAGAGAAAAATGATTATGATTTATGTGCACTAAGAAATTATGTAAGCATCAATGGGTACCAAAAAAAAAAGAAAAGAACTCAAGGAATTCATAGGTAGAGATTTGAGATTGGAAAAGGGAAACTTCCTCTCACATCGCTTTCCTATAAAAGCTACATAAAATTAAAATATGCATCTCCCCAAATCACATCCACATGCCTCACTCTCTCTTCATTTATTCTTTATTAATATGCATTTTATATGAATTGGGTTTTTTTTTTGCCCTCCATTTTTATATGTTGGCGTGCTTGATTTTGTCCTTAATTGTTTGGTATCGATCACACAATATCTTATGATAATTTAGTCAATAAAGTTGAGTTGGTTTGGAGGGATTACTTCATTGTTTTCGGCCAACTTAAAGCATAACTCAACTGGTTAAGATATCTAATCTCCGATTAGAAAGTCGTGAGTTCGATTCTCCACTCCCATATATTTGTACTAAAAAAGATCCATAACTTTTAGAAAATTCTTTTCATCTTTATCGAGAAGACATTGGTATGTAACTTTTTTTTTTTGATGGGGTTATGTAAGTATGTTAAAATTACTATAGGGTTGCATGTTTAAGGATAGAATGTGATTTAAATTGGAAAATTTTCATGTGGGTGTCACAACATATGCTATAAAAATTATTCATTTCTAGAATATGACAAATATATTTACAACTGTATCGATTGCTAAAAATATTTTGAGATTTTTTTATTTTTGGTACATTTTTTTTTTCCTTCAAGTAGGACCCATTGAGAATATTTATAATAGTTGAATTGGTAAAGTTTTGATGGTATCACACAAAGTACACAAATTAATATATTTCTTGGAAAGCTCCAAGGGCTAGTGGGAATTTAATTATAATGGAAAATTACCATAAATGTGTGATAGATTCTATTTCTTAAAAAGAAAGAAGTGGAGAAAATGACAATGTTAATTAAAGAGAGAAAAAAAATAAAAATTGATGGGATTGGAAATATCTCTAAAACCTTATTCCTAATACAAATTGGATAGTCCCTTTCAACAAGTGTTACAAATAATGTGCTCTCTTTTTTCTAAACAGATTTTATAAGTTGCTATTTTTTATTTTTTATTTATAAGTTGTTGTTATTAAGTATCCCATTCGTCCTATTATCCATATTTTTATTATTGGGAGCAACTAAAAAGTTTGATTCCAAATTCCAGTTGTTTCTTTCCTAATCCAGAGAGAGGGAGAGTTTGAATATCACTTGCCTTCCAAGATTAGGTTGCACTACTATTTATAGCTACGAGGAACCTTTTTGTAGTTGAGCCCTAATTCGGATTTGCGATGCCCAATGATCGACCTGGGCTCCGAATAAGTGTGTTTAACCTCCTGATGTAGATCCGAGCGAAGGAGGTCCACAT